CTTAGATGTAGTTGAATCTGACAACACTGTATCTTAAGTACCATTTGAGGGAAATAATGTATGCTACAAAAATTGGTTGGTTGGCTTAACTGTATGTCTATCACAAATTGTCAAATTTTTTGCCCTGGAATTGAAAAAGCAATTACCATCATTATTTGGATGATGCAGAATATTTGAGAAAATGACCTGTTATCACAACTCAAAATATTCCGTTAGATTACAGATTTGTTGAGGAGATCACAATGATTTTTTCACCAACTTCACCAATTTCTGTAATTTCTATATCCGTATTCAAAACGACTGAATTTTTACAAACAGTAAGGATGATGAGGCACATTCCTTACTAGGAATGGGATTTGGCGGCAATTCTCCAAAACCAAGGAATACGTTCCTCTTTTCTTGCTGACCAATAGTATCAAGATTTTCCAAGTCTCAAAGATGACCATCTTTGGCGCAGATAAAAAAGAAGTCTATTGTGACTCTTGCAACATGTGGTCTGGCATTATCTTGTTGGAAAGTTGGATCTGCCAGGGTGTCAAGATAGGGTAAAAGATGGGGTTCTAGAACTTCGTGGATATAACGCTGCGCGTTCATGTTACCTCTGATGAAGATTAAAGGTGACCTGGAACCATAAGCTATAGCACCCCAAACCATAACTCCAACAGTGTGATGAACATGTCTTTCAACAAAAAACTGTGGATTCCTCCTTTCACCACGTCGCCTTCTAACCCTGGCACGACCATCGTGCATGCCTAAACAAAATCGAGACTCGTCACTAAAGGCAATACTGTTCCATTCCTGATCCCAGAGTGACCGTTGTCTGCACCACTTCAGGCGATTACGTCGGTGTTCTCGAGTTAAAGGGAGGACCCAGTGTGGCCGGTATGAAAACAAGCCAAAACTTCTCATTCGTCGGTAAACACTTCGCATGCCAATAGCTTCCGTGTTCTGCAAACCATTCATTTGCAATGGACCTGGTACTGGAGAAACGGTCCCTTAAGGCCAATAATCTTAGGCGGCGATCTTCACGGTCTGTTGTTCTACGGCGGCGTCCAGTGCCCCTTGCTCTTTGCGTACGGCCTTCTCGAAGCCATGCCTGACAACACCTAACCACAGTGTCTACACTTCTTTGCACTCTAACTGCAATTGCCCGAAAAGAAAGTCCAGCTTCCCGAAGTCCCACTATACGGCCCCTATAAAACTCACTAAGTTGACGAAATCGTACAGGTCTCCGTACTCTAGGCATCGTAACCGATCGTAAAGGATGTCAAGAATCAAAATCCGCCAACGTTGATTCTTTACTGCGGCTGAAATATTCATTTTTAGAGCGTTAGTGAATTAAAAAAAAGCAGCATAAAAACCGGAATGTCCAACTGATAAGGCTGAACATTTTTTCACTTGTTATTTACAGTGAAATAAATACATTCACCAACTTTTATCAAAATAAAACCATTTAAACTGGGTGTTCGGATTTATATGTCACTTAGTATATTTGAAATCACTTAGACCTAATAGACCTAATAGAACATCTGAACAAATAAACAATGTGCAAATAAATGCGCGAAATCAACAATTGAAAGATTACCATTGGGCAACATCACCTTTATTTTTTATTACGGCTGACATTTTTTGGGGCATAGTGTTAACCAAGTTTTGACAAAAATTTGGTGTAAAACAATCCCATATTTCTTGAAGCTTTTGCATCAGTTCGGTGATTGTACGAGCAGGATGTTGTCGTAGAACCTTTTTCATCTTGTGCCACAAAGTTTCAATAGGTGACAGATCTGGACTGCTAGAAACCCATTTCAAAAGTGGTACATTATTTCCTTCCATCCATTTTATAGCCTTTTTTGATGTATGGCACGCTGCACCATCTTGCTGAAACGCAAAATCTTGGCCGGATGTCAAACATTCTTCCATCACGATTCTTCTAAAATTGCCAAATATTTGTTTGTATCCACATTTCCATCAATAAAATGAAGTTTTCCTACTCCTTTTGATGACATACTGCCCCAGTCCATAATGGATGCTGGAAATTTCACTTTTCTCTTCAGACAGTCAACATGGAATGCTTCATTTTTTTTGCGAATAACTCTACCGCGACTGTCACCAACACAAACTTCGAATCAGGCATCATCACTCCATTGTACTGCACACCATTGTTGAGTTGTCCATTGTCTATGTTCTTGGCACGCCTGTTTTTCACGATTATTCTTCTTAATGCTCTTCGGTCGGCATTTGTGATATTACTTTTTTTCACATATCGTGGCTTAATATTAACTGAACCAGTAACGTTAAAAATCTTCTAACAATATTTCTCACACTGTACCGCGACAAGTCTAACAAAGTTGCAATTTCTGAGTTTGATTTCCCAGAATTAAAAAATTCAATTATCACCAAATTTTCTCACTAATAACCTTTCCGCTACTTATTTTGAAAACCTTAACTACCCAAAACTATTTTAAACGTATTCTGACAGCTGTGATTAATAAAAACAATTGTCATGGCTTTTATTTTTCACAGCCACCTATGCGTTATAGACTTATTTTGCACTGAAATGAAAATAGGTTGATATGCTGTAATTGCAACATGTGTTATTTTTATGCTGCAAATTTGATTAGGGAGTGATAAAGTTGGTGTTTTCTACTATATATTATCAAAATATTTGTTGTTAATATTTTAAACCTATAAGACCCTGCCACATTTTTATTATTTGTGTTTGATAAGAAAAAACTAAGATTTCAATAGTTGGGCCAAATGAAGTGGGAAGGGGCTGGTATAAGTAGAAGATTAAATGATTTGAAGTTATTTGCACGTCGCCCGAGTAAGAAGCCACTAATCTCGAGGAAAAACCGTAAGGACCGATTACAATTTGGACGGTTGCATCTTTATTTGGAGCATATGTGACTGGAAGAGGGTATGTTTCAGTGACAAATCCAAGTTCAATATGTTTGGATCAGATGGTGTTCATTACGTTAGACGTCCTAGTGGACAAAGATTGAACCACAAGTACACTTTGCCCACTGTCAGACATGGAGGCGGGTCTGTTATGGTTTGAGGGTGCTTTTCGGGATTTGGGATGGGACCTTTGCATAGGATAGATGGCATTATGGATAAGTTTGTATACACAGACATAGTAAAGTAAAGTCATGTTACCCTATATGGAAGACAATATGCCCTTAAGATCAATCTTCCAGCAAGACAATGACCCGAAGCTCACTTCAAGTCTTGCAAAGAAACTCCTTCTTGATGAAAAAAAATCAGTTCTCAAGTGGCCTTCACAGTCTCCCGATATAAACCCCATTGAAAATCTATGGGAGTACTTAGATAAGCAAATACCAGATAAAAATTAATCAAACAAGGATGAACTTTTTGCCGCTTTACAGCAAAAGTGGAGATAGATTGGTGAATCCTATACCAAGAAACTTCTACAATCTATGCCGAGACGATTCCAGGTGGTGATTGATAATAATGGTTATGCTACAAAATATTAACACTAACATGGTTGATTTTCTATAATTCAGTGAACTTTGCTTCTTTTTTCTATATTTGTTTTGCTTTGTCTATATATTTTTGTCCTTCATAGTCCCAGTTTTTTTCAATTAATTTTTTATTGAAGGGAGTCTAATGAATTTATTTATGTATAAGTGAGTATTATGCTATAACGCATTATGTATACAGGTTGGTGTATTAATGAAACAAGTTAAAAAAGAAATACAGCACAAAATTAATTTGTCTATATACTTTTGTCCATTACTGTATGTATTTTGAACTGTTATTTTAGCTAATAGGCTAATGTGTAATATCATGGCTGATTTTGAACCTTTTTTGCAAGAAACAACGACTTTTACAGTTTCTCATCTATTTTCCTTAGTACTCTACAGTGTGTGTTATATTCTTATAATTTAGAGCATCATTTTGTGCAAAAAGCAAAGAAAAAGCATATAAAACAGTATTCCATTCTAGAGTATTACAACCAAAAATGCAACTTTGAAGTTCTATAAAATAGCAAGCAGAGGGTTCCTTAAAGAAAAAATTATATTTTCGTGCAAGTTACATCCTAATCTTTCATTTTAAAGTAAGAAATGAAGTATTTGCGATATGTACTCAAGTATAGTCTTACCTACGCTGATATTGCTGAAATACGAATATACAATTAGTATCAGTTGATCCCTAACAGAAAAGACAGTTAATCTTTTAAGGTAACTATCATCCAAGCATATTCAAACATATACATTAAACTGATGGAATAATACACCTTGCAAGAATACATCCATACCATCCAATGTCCAACGTAGTATTATACTAGACATGAAAGAAAAGGTTTTGCTCATTATCCACTTGACTAACATTCAGCATCTGAGTCAAAACATAGTCCTCAGAGCTGTTTGTTTGAGCTGCTGAAAGCTAGTGAATGTAACCAACTGTTGTTAGAGATTTTCAAGTTATTTGTCCACTGAATATACTTACTAAGGTTCCATTAAAGTGTCCAGGTCTTTGTAACCATTTGCTATTGGGATCTTCAGGTACACAACTACATATATGATCCATTAGTCCATTACAGTAGAGGAAACATTTCGACTGGGTTGATTTCCGTTGAGCTTGAAGCCTAATTTTTACTACATCTAAGGGAGTTACTGGAAAACGTATTTTAAGTTTTGAATTGGTCTCATACAGCACAATGGTTTCTGTTAATTTTAAAAAACTGTAACTTACCTAGAAGTGAGGTTATGACGGCTCCAGTACATGAAGCTGCAGCTGATTGGAGTGGGCTGATACGATACTGCGGATCATCGTAATCTATATCATCAGCTTTGTGGGACATGATGCTGATTGTAAGATCAACTATTCCTAAAACAACTTAATTCCAAATGTTCGGTGTTTTGAATTGCAGCCACATTGTAGTTGTCTAGTTGTCAGTTAAACCATCAATCCTCAATAAGTCAAGGTCATTCTACACGTGATTTATACCAAGGCCGACAATGTCACTTGCTGATGCGCCATCTTTCCACGCTAACTGGTAAACTAATTGAAAATTATAGAGTTTCCCACTTGATGACAGCCCGACTTTACGCGGCGACTTGACCGCCTATTTTTTGAATTGAAATGAAGGACGGCAGTTATATTTAAATGTGAAATAATATGATACTGGACCTGTGTTTATATTTAGAAAAGTAAATTATTAACCTCCGTAAACGCATAGATAACATCATAGTTGTGTGTATAAACAGCAAGCTTGCACAGTAAAATAAGTCTAAAATGCTCATTATTTCAAAATACATGCAGGCTTTCAGTGTTTCACAAATTCAGCCATCTTTCAGAATTTTGTTTGAACATAATGTGATAAACAATTACCTTTCAAAATGCCGAACAATGCGGAACTATGTAAATGTAAGTACCTACATATATAGGGACCCCGGTTTATACATAACTGTAGGTTTTAGATTAAATTAGTATGTTTGATTTTGTGGGGAAATCCCTGTTGGTTCATCTGTACAGGGCCGTGGTCCACTAAGAAACGAGATACTGTATCTGGGAACCCTATCCATCGTACAGACTTGGGGCAAAAAAAGTTCTTACTAAAACGGCTCAGAAAAAACCTGGAAAGTTTCTGAAATGACCGCTAGGGGGCGCAACTTGAATCTAAAAAAGTGATGTTTCTGTGCATGCTGCTATATTAACCTAAGAAAAAGATACCAAATCTTTAAATTCGTGAATAATCTTTACCTTTTTTGTTTGACAATTTTTTTTATTCAAAGGTTTCCGTAAGAAGCACCCTGCTGAACCGATTTTAACAAACTTGGGCTAGTTGGAAAGAGCTATTCTTGGGCTACAAATGTTTCTGGAATCTCTTTATTATTAAGTTGTATCCCTAAAAAGCACCGATTTAAAAAAGAAGTTTTTTAATGCTCACGTAAATGCTTACCATCACGCTCTATGCATTCCTGAAGCCTCTCTTTGTCAAAAAAGTCAAGACTGCCATTTAGGGATTGCTCGAAAAAATATGGCCCAATAATTCTGCCTCCCAGTTTGACACACCACATATTTAACCTCCTACGTCCTTGAGACATGATATGAGTGGATACTAAATTTAATTAAATAAAAGTTACATTTAAATAATAATAACACCCTATATTTTGATGGCGATTGAAACTTACATATTATGATCCTTCAAAATATTTTTTGAACCGTTGTTCGTGATATGATAATGTCCTTGTGCTAACATGAGGATTTCCTTCAATATATCCTAGTGCGCGGTTAATACTTTCTTGTGTTCTTCCAATTCTTTGCCGTTGAAATGATGCCGAAAACTACCATTGGCTCGTAAGTTCACCACTAATCTCACTAAAGTCTCACATCGCAAAGGCGCCATTTTGGATATCGAGTGGCGTAAACTCCTTTTGCTATTGCGACATTCTGAAGATATTCAAAATAAACTGCAAACATATCAACAGCTTCATCGTTTGTAAAACGCATTTGGTAAGCACAAAAATTGCTCGGGGTAACGCGAAACTATTAACAATTTGAGGATTATTTATGTTTTAATTGGGTACCTATTTGTTTTGTTGTATTCCATGGCCTGCTCCTATTGTCTTTTCGTGTATGCCCATAGTGAATATGCATTTAAACAAAAAATATGCCTTTTGTTATTGACATTACTTACTTACATTTTAACGATATTTTGTAATATTTTCAAAATGGCTGATTTTATTCTGATGAATAAAAGAGAATTCCGGAAAAATTAGTTTAAAAAAATAAAATTTGCAGGAATTTCCGTATAAAATCTTCTTTAGCCTAAATTTTATAGGTTAGGAACAAGATACAGAGATGCGGTTTTTGCGAGCTTGTTGTTCGGTATTCTGCAACACAAAAAGCATGATGGGTAGCTGACATGCAGCATTCCTCCATAGATGGATTCAATTGATGACCCTCATAGCGAACAAACGCGAAATGCACTATGGGTATTTGCACACAATATAGCTATCTAAAAAAACTATGTAACGTCAGAAAAACCAATTAAATGTCAATTTGTTGACTAGATAGCTGGTAGTGTGCAAGTAGTCCATTCCGCGCCTGCTACAAGTAAGCATTAAGTGAACGACAGCTAGTTCCTACTTGACATCTTCTAAGAAAACCTACATAATGTCCAAACACGAAATATTGTCACTTTTCAGGTTACGTAATACCCATGCGGTACTTTCCAAGTTATAGGCGGGCCAAGCATTAGCAGGCAGACAGGCCGAAAAATCAACGGAAATGAGTGACATGTTTTATGGTGACGTACATTTCAAATATCATCGGAGAAACATAATAACTCATTTTAGAATTTTTTCGCGATCACAATACTTCTCAGTAGGCGTGATAAGTGAAAGGAGTCGCCCTTTATATGAATTTGGGAGACACTGATTTAGGCTAAGGAAGATTTTGTCATTTCGTTGCTTAGGTCCATAATACTTTGAAATTGGTTTGCGTGGTGGCGGAAGTGTCAGCAAAAAGTAATAATTTATACATATGCGGTTTCACTTGGACGTAAAATCATGGAGTTCTATTATCAACCACAAGATGAGTTTTAGGTGTTACATCCTCACAGTTGTAATAATGAAAGCAGTCAATGGGCTTTCGCGTCAGGATCTTATTGAGGAATCATTTAAGCACTTGATCCGAGATAAACAACACCAAACTCACTTTTGCATTTGTTTCTTCAAAAATACCCTTCCAAAATAATCATTTTTGTCACTTCACTTCCCACGTCACTGGCAGGGAAGTACTCTAATCTCAAAAAATTTTGAAAATGAGATACGTTTTTTGGATGTTATGTGACATGTACATCACGAAAAACCGTACCACTCAAAATCGACGGTCTGAATCTATTTGTCTGCCTGGTCGGATTTTACTATACTAGCGTACCAGAGGGCCGGTACTGTTGATAGAGCAGGGTCGAGGCTGCTCGCGTTATTGAATGAGTGGAGACTATGCACGAATTCCATGAGCCTGTTCGGCTGACTTGATTCATTCAATTTTTTTATATTCACTTTCCTAGCTAAATTTTTTTGACGGGCTAATTTGTACCTTGGATAATCCTTTATGAACTGAATTCAAGTCCATGCAAACCTATTTAGCCCCATTTTTTTCTAGACCTCTGAACACCCTGCGCGGCTTGAGTCCACCCTGTATGGATGAAAATCGGTAATTAAGGATTTTTTCATAATCTAGGAAATCAATCTGTAAAATTCTGATGGGGTTCACGTACTCTTGGTTTAAAAGAGGCGTCTAATAAATTGGAGGCCCAATAAAGCAAATGAAAAATGCACTATTTTTAACATCTAATATATCTAAGAAACAACACTTCCCGACAATAATAGAATAACGATTTGATTGTCATCTGTAGGCATTAGGTGATGTTAAATGCCCTAGTAGTCAAATACAGATAATGTAAATACCAGGGACGCAGTTGCCGGAGAATATTAATATTATTTCTTTGGGGCCCTGTATTAGTGGTAGTTGGATATATACGATCATGCAAATCTTCTCAAGCTTAGGCTCCCCAACACAGGGTGTCCAGGGCTCCAGCTTCTCATGCACACCACCGCGCACAACATTTTCACAACTAAGTATACAGATATGCCTACTACAAATTTATAATTTAACTTTAATCATGAAAATGGTTCCATGCGTGTGTTGACGAGAAAGAAGTACCATCAGAACAAATGTATCATCTTAATCGAATGCTCATAATTGTGTCCATAACCTGCAGAATCCGGATCCATTAACATATGATGCACGTTTCTTGAATTATGAGAAGCAGGGTTGTTATGTTTTAATCAAAATGTTTAAAACGGATGCTTCAATCACTGTTTAAAACAATGAAGGTGTTTTAAAGCAACTTGTTTTAAGCTGTTTAAAACATGTTTTAAACACTGTTTTTTTTGCCGTTTGTGAATTATTCAAGTTTTTTTATATTTTTGTAAGTATGATTAAAATTGATTTTATTTTGCAAAACGAAACTAAAAGGGCCATAGGTTAAAACACATAGGTACTAAAAATATACTTCGTTTTTTCATTAATTAATCAAACATGAAACTAGGGAACTAATACTAGAGGGAAATAAATCTGTTTCTTAACGAACGAGTGATCTTAATAAACTGCATTGAACTCTAACACTAGAACACTTCAAGCAGCAGAATAATCATATAATATGACTATGTATTTACTTGTAAGTATAACATTAAATAATTTACTTAACAAATTTATTTATTAACAAAAAATCCTTAAATCCATATTTTTTAAATATAAAATCATGGAAAATATAGATAGAATAAATTTTTAGTTTTCACTACTTTTTACGGAACACCAAGTAAAAAAATGTAATAATCTACTTTTTCACGCTTTGATTTAGGTGTTTAAATACTGTGACTAATTTTGCCGCTTTTTCTCTGCCCAACTTATTACGAAGTTTGGTGTGGATTATCCAAATGGGGGAAAAATACACACAAGCCCAGCAGATGAAGCGGCCGCTGTATGATGCTGCTGAACTAGGTCAACTGTAACTTCATATTTAACACATTTGACTTCTTGAGATGTGCTCTGATAGAGCTGGATCAAAAATAGTAATAACACCTTCAAGGAACTTCATTAACGTTGCTAGATTATATAGGCAATAGTTTTTTAATTTCTTTTTACTGTTTAAAACATGTATTAACAGTGTTTTAAACATGTTTTTCTTTCCAGCTGAATTTGAATGTTTTAAACAAAAAAACAGTTTTAAACAAAAAAATACATAATTTTTGTTTTTTAAGACTTGTTTTTTTTAAACCCTGATGAGAAACTAGGCGATACTTCTGCGATTAAAAAATAATAGTCATTTGCTATGCATTTTTTAGATGCGAACAACAAAACAGACCTTGAATACCAGAAAAACGATTGAAAACTCCAAATGTAGAACAACAGCAATTTTAGGTAACATCACAGTCCAAGAAATAGTGTGATATGTTATAACTAAGGTGTTTTTAATTAATGATTTTTTAATTCGATTTTTTACGCTGCGCGGCTGCAGGGCTTTTCCAAATGATGGGAGAGGTAAAATGCGATGCGTCAATAAAGAACCCTTTTAAGACAGGAAACGAGCCTGAAGTTATGTAAGTTTCAAATTGCATAATCGTTTTAACAGGCGTAGATTTAAAAAAATGTCTATCTCTATGTCAAATTGCTACTTCGCACTTAACAGTTAGTTCATACAATCGTAATATTTTGGGGAACGTAACTCCTGAAACTTACCTTATTATCTTAAGACCTGAAGTAAATAATGTGCTAAGTGCCAAAAAATCAGTTTTTCATTTTATACTTGTAAGATGTTCTAGGTGTCATAACCAACAACATAGATGAAGCGCTAAGTGCCATGCTTATTATACTGTACTGAAGAAATCCCAACAGAGTGCGGGCTTGTCAATCGCCATAACGCCACGGTAAAAATGTTCGTTACCACCGAGAGGGTAACGGCTAAGTGCCAATAAATACAAGCTTGTTTATATGTATAAATAAGTTATTTTATTTAGTTTACAAGTGGTATTTCGAAGAGATCAATCAAAAATATCTAGTGTCGTGTCATTCTTTTATCAGCTGCGACAGGGTTTTCGAAAGCGAAAAAGGCACGAGAAATGCGAGTATTTGGTGAGAATGATGATAGCAGCAGTGAAAAAACACCATTTCTTGTTACAATGATGAACCGTGATGACTTTTTCGATTTCAAAGTTGCTTCAGAAAGTTCAATCAATACATCCAAGCTTCACATTTCGGAAGCCCGGCCGATCAATATTAGCCGAGAAAATCCAGGATTCGTTAACATCCGAGAATTCCTGGACGAGATAGTGCCTTGGGAAACAACGAAGATTTTGAAGAAAAATGTTACTATTGAAACTATCGCAAAAATGACTCTTCCAAACCTGACCTGCCAAAGTATAATTTCTGAAGAAAAATTAAGCAAGATCTGCTGGCAATAATTCTTTATTTGAATGAAGAAAATAGACAATTTTATGAAGATCTATTGAATACTAATATTCATTAGAAGCTACATTTTTTATGCTTTTTTCGTTATTACTTACCACAATATTTATATTTTTGTAAAGGCACATAATATTTATATTTTTGTAATGGCACTTGGCACATTCTATGATTTTGTGACTGCTATAATTTGTTTCTGCTCATTTTTATAAAAAGTTCCCGAAAATATTAAGTACACAGAAAAATACTTACTTGAATAAACTTATGTTTAATTTTCAGACAGTTTTTTAATACATTGATTGTAGAACAAAAATAATAGTCCCACGGTACCCAATGGGTGTTTAGGCCTTAGGCCTTCGTGGTAGTTGGAGTATAAAAAAAATAATTTTGGCACTTAGCACATTATTTACTTCAAGTCTACGTATATCTTTTATTTTTGGTTTTATTAACAAATGAAACCACAGATAGAGTGCTGACATAGTAACGTCTTCAGTTCCAAAAGTTGTTTTACAATCTCTGTATTTTGAAAAAGGCCGTAACGTTTCCCATAGGCAGTCGAGATTGGATACATATTTCGTTGAACTATTTTCAAGTTGTTGAAAGTAGTTTGACTTTTGTTCCAGAATAAGAAAGGCCGTAACTGCACTTATTATAACCGGGATCATTGCCGCTGTAAACTGGCTTACTTGGGGCCTGTTAGCCAATCCTATATTAGGATTATTGATCATTTTTGCTGGTGTTTACTACGAAATTGACAGACAAGAAAAGGAAAAGTCTACTATCCGCATTAAGCTATAAGATATCTGCCTATAATTGGATTTTTTCGGGTTATACATACAGGGTGTTCATTTGAAAACTTTCCACCACGGATTTATCGAAAACCACTCATTAAAAGGAACAACGCCAAGACACGTCCAAAGATTTGCCAAGGGAGGCAACTTATTAACCCAAAACTACTTCACCCCCTTTTACCCTCTGCTACCCTCTTAAAAATTTCAAATGAGAAAGGGTATTGAGTAACAGCTTGTTTGAAAGGTCACTCGAGGTCCTTTATTTTGACGTTTGATTTTTTGAAATTGTTTTCAAGAAAATTAGAAAAATTTTTATTTATCGTAATTTGTTCAGATAGAAAACAAAAAGACACGAAAATATCACTTTTTATTTCAATAAGTGTTCAAAATGTTGCCCGTTATTGGCCAAACAATGATAGAGGTGATGTTCAAATTCCTAACGGACATTTTCAGAAACATGTTCATCCAAACTTTCAGGTTGGGGAGTAAATACAATAGATGTCGAATAGGAAAAAAGTCTAATGACGTCAAATTAGGAGATCTATCTGCCATTTTATAGACCCTCTTTGCCCTTTCAGTACCGGTAGAACATAGTGAGGAGGAGCGCCGTCTTGCTGGAAATATATTTCAGCCTCATCAAGTATAGGGTTTCCATCTTCTTCGATTTGGTTTCAGTGATGAGCGGATTGATGGTATTTTCCAACATATACAAATAAATGTCTGCATTAAAATTTCCGTTAATAAACAGTGGGCCAATCACTTCGTTTTCTAAAATGCCTGCCTATACATTAATCTTTTGGAGGTACTGCGTATGCCCTTCTGCAAAAACATTAGAATTTTCATTGCTCCAATACCTGCAGTTATGCTTATTAGCAAATCCATTTAGATAAAATGTGCATTCATCACTGAAGCAGATACTCGATCATTACATGAATGGTACTCGTATTATCATTAATCGCAATAACCATTTGTTGACAAAACTCAACTCGCCTATCGAAACCATATTCGGTTAACTCTTGCAATATTTTCGTTTTGGATGGATGAAATGTCTCGTATGGAGTTTAGTAACTGTGTGTACAGAGCCTAATAAAATACCAGTCGCAGCAACAATTTTGCGTAATGAACTATTAGGTTTTATTCCAAAATGACCCAAAACCGCAACTTGAGCGGCTTCATCCAAAACTGTCCGATGATCACGTTTTTTATTTGCAACAGATCCAGTTTGAGTAAATTTAGTAACAGGGTCCAAAACACACCTATGCGAAGTTATCTTCCCCGGATGTCTGGCGTTAAACGTGACCGCAGTTTACCGAGCACATTGATTTTGGACACCATACATTAGACACATTTTCATTCTTTCGGCTAGTGTGTACAACATTTTGGAAGTAAATCTGAATCAATAAATTAATTTTCACTATCCCAAGATTGTCACAACGGTAACTGGCAGCAGATTCAATTATTTCTTTCCCTTAACAACAATTAACTGAACAGGTATAACAATAAATATGCAGTTCGCCCAAGATATCTGTGTTGATGAAAAGAAGGCGGAAAAAAGTCGGGTTGTTATTTGGTCGTTACCACGTCTAACCCTCCGAATTGCTGTTCATGTTGGTAGTTTTCGTTTTACATTATAAACGAATTGCAGATTTGGCAAACCCTAATGGGCAACATTTTGAACACTGATTGAAATAAAAAGTGATATTTTCCTGTGTTTTTGTTTTCTGTCCGAACAAATTAAGATTGATAAAGGTTTTTCTAATTTTCTTGAAAACGAAATGACCGATTTTGAAAAATCAAACGTTAGAATAAAGGACTTTGAAGGACCTTTGAAACAAGCTATTACTCGATACCCCTTGTCATGATGACCCTGGGGAGCAGAGGGTGAAATAGGGTGAAGTAGTTATTGGTTAAAAGGTTGTCCCCCTTGACAAATCTTTTGACGTGTCTCGGCGTTTTTTCTTTTAATCAGTGGTTTTGGATAAATCGGTGGTGGAAAATTTTCAGATGAACACCCTGTTCTTGTTTCCTTTGATTGTAACTACATGCTACAAGCATTTTTGTCGTTTTTATTTTTTATAATTCAACAGTAGTGTACATAATAAATATGTTTATAAAAACGTTCTTTTAATGATTTTTATCCCTCTTATCCTGCGGCACAAAAAGCATCACACTACTAATGTGAAAGGGTATCTAGGTTTCACTTTTCTCAATTTAGTGGTGAAAAATCATTTCAGCTAACTGAAGTCCATTCTTTCCTTCACTACGTAAAAATAGAAAATGCGCCAAGCTCCACAGTCCCCACATCTATTCGCGAGGTGAGAAAAAACTGGAAGCCTAAATATGTATAATGATAAAGTTGCAGCGTATCGTAAGTACAGTGAATTCGAACATTTATGGTCGCTAATGCGTGGAAAGTAAAATGAAAACGAATTGAAGACGTCGAAACGGCTAAAAAGCGACATTGGAAAGTTCAAGGCTGTGCAATTCCAAGTATGAATAAAATTTGAATGCAAATGAATTGGGAGAAATGAACTGTAAAAGCATTTCTAGGGATAGAAAGTGATTGCTGTGGTTGCTGTCTTCGAGTCACATTCGAACGTGATGCTAATTTCAATTAAGCCGAAAATTTATAAGCTCGGGCATTTTGTGCGTTATTATTTGTTCTGACCCTACAGGGAACAGCCAGGTTTTTTTGACCAAGGAAAGCTTTTATAGCCTGTCTCAGGCAAACAAAGTTGATACGTTTGCCGGCAGGGCCTTTCCTGCCCAAAGTGCGAGACTCTCCAGAAATGGCATATTCACTAAAACACCTCCGTCGTTCGCCTCACATCCCACCACGGTAATGCTTGTAGCATTTCTTCAAAATAAGAGCAAACATATTTTATAATTTTCGACTCTCGTGCTATTTTATAATTGCTTTATTGCAGCTCTTACAATGCAACGTTCAACATTTTATACGACATCTAAGCTTACCGAACTTTGTGGATTTATACTAGTATTATCCACTACGAGTTTATTCGTTTGCGAATGTGGATTTCAATGCTTAACCATACCCTTATTCGTTTTTGCAAATATATTTATATATGCTTTTGTATCCTCAAAAACATTTTTCTGTTTTATGATAATTGTATAACAAGTCTTTAAGGTTCCATCTGAGTATAATACGAGTATGCTTTAGTTAGTGATAATATCAGAAAGAAAGTATTAATAAATGAATTTTACATATGTTTCGCATAGCGCTAGTAAAACGATTTTACTGAAGCTGGTATCAGATAATAGGGGAAATACGTACAAAATGACATAGGCGGGTTATTTTGAATTTGGCGGACTTTAACATGAAACTGACAGTGACGCCACGCGACCATAATGGCACTCTATAATCTGTCGATTTTTTTCATATTGACAAAGTTTTTGCTCAAATGGTAAGTTTTTTGCTATTGTACCGATTTATGTAGCATTTATTTCATTCCTCAAATACTTACCATCAAATTAAATGACTTATTCTTATAAAAAGAGCTCTTTGTATATTTATTTACAAATTTTATTATTTTAAAATGCTCTACGGACAAAACGACATACATGTGTAACGGACAAAATGGTATACGTCATTTTGTCCATAGCTATTGTGTTATATGTAGGTATGCATTTTTTTCAGATACCAAAATGCCACGCGACTATAAACGAACGACTGATCGGCAATCTTGGAGTACGGACTCAATGAAGAAAGCCATATATGAAAATGGGCTGGTTATTGGGCTCAAAAAAATTTGGTGTTCCTCAAGCAACTCTTCGCATGCATGTTTTAGGCACTAATAAAACTCAAAAGGCCTTGGTTGTTGGAAAGCCTACCTTTCCATCTGATGTGGAGATGCAATTAGTTGAGCATATAAAATTCGTTGAAAGTCGTTTGTTCGGGTTGACACGAACATCGGTACAAGAATTTGCTTTTCAAATGGCTGAGAAAAACAGTTTGGCTCATTTTAACATCCAAAAGCAAAAGGCAGGACAAGACTGGTTGGATGGATTTCTAAGACGTAATAAAAATATATCTCTGCGCAAACCAGAAGCCACATCATCAGCTCGCGCTCAAGCGCTCGGCCACAAGTCCAAAAGTTTTTTCAGTTGTACGGAAGCTTGCTAGAATCTGTTGGCTATAAATGCTGATGAATCTGGAAAGTCTGGAAATATTTTAGCTACCACCGGAAGGAAACAAGTCGGAGTTACAACTAGTGCGGCGCGTGGACCAAACACCACTGTTGTTTGTTGTGTCCATCCACGCAACTTATAGATGAAGCTCCTCCTGGCACTTTGAGGGTAGCTCAACAATCAGGCTGGATGACCACCGGAATATTTATGAAATGGATGAAGCATTTCGAAAGTTTTGAAAAGCAAGCACTACGATAAAATTATTATAATTGTCGATGGTCATGCAAGTCATGAAGGCATTGAAACTTTGGAATATGCAAAAGAAAACGGTATTCATGTTATTGGTCTGCCTCCACATTACACTCATCGTAAGAAACCTCTTGACGTCTCCTTTTTTGTACCTTTGAAGACCTACTATAACTATGAAATTGCTCAGTGGCTGAAGGCACTGAACCCTGATATACTTCCAGATTATATGTACGAGCCCGCTGAAACCACATACATACCCCTGAAAGACAACTTCATTGAACAATCTCCTCCGCCTTCAACAGTGATGAGCTCTGTCGAATCTGAACAGGTTTTGATACAACCTTCACAACATGATTCATATTCTGTGACAAATACGTCTCTGGTCTCTGTGGCTGCTGCGTTACCTCTCGTTCAGCCATGATCCCATGATACTATGTGTGATGAAAATAATGCATCCAAAAAAAACAGCACTTGCCGACCCACAACCTGAAAAGTCATCTCAGGTTCCAACAAAAAACTCCGGTCTAAAAGGTGTTTTAACTGCTGCTACCAATGAACATATGTTGTCTTCCGCTCTTGCTGCTCCTATTGAGGTGCTTTCTCCCGTACCGAAAGACATTTGGTTAGTGGCCAGGAGAAACGCAAACAAAACAGAGCTTTTTGGTGTT